ACAGGCTCAGTCAGCCTTTGATCACCTGAAGAGGGCATTCACCTCAGCACCCATCCCGATTCACCCAGATCCCACTGTGACTGGATGCACCCACGTACTCACAGTCTACACAATGTTGTAATAATCTTTGTACAAAATATGCCTTGTGAGGTTGTGACACTCTGTGCCTCGGGGGAACACCCTGCACCCCCATGTTCATCCTTATAATATGATTGTGTGGTGTCCAATTCAAAGTTTGTCATGTCAGGGGTCTTCGGAAGGCTCATGAAGCACTGAGCATTGTTGTGATAGTGATGTTATAGGTTGTAATTTCATGTATATAATTATGAAGCTGAAAATGTGTCCTCATGGCTTAAAACAAGCTCAGGCAAAACTCTCCAGGAACAGAGGGGCAGTTCACACCTCATCAGGGCATGTATGGGACAAACCCAGCCCAGCCTCACAGGAACAAAGGACACTGACCTAGGCAGTAACAAAGAATCTGTTGGACTCTCGAGTGAGTGACCCCCCTTCCTTTGGTCAGTTTGAGACTATGATGCGATAATGCTCACCTGACCCTGAAGTGGAGGGGGGCAAAGCCAAGAGGGAAGAAGGGAGAGACGTTTGCGTGCACTTCCTCTCTCTTCCACCTCCATCTACAGACATCACCACCAAGCAACTGAAGCACTGATCAAAGGGGAGATCCTGGCTGAAGGGCAACCAGCCAGCCTGTGGTGAGAAGCATCTAAGTTTGTAAGGGCATTGAAAGTGTTAAGATCAGCTTAGAATGCGTTTTGCTTTTATTTCATCTGACCAAATCTGACTTGTTGTGCTTTGATTTATAAAAATCTCTCTCTTGTAGTTAATACATTTGTTTGTTTATTCTACCTGAAGTAGTGTGTTTGGTCTGAAGCATGTCAGAGACTCCCCTTGGGATAACAAGCCTGGTACATATCAATTTCTTTGTTAAACTGATGAACTCATATAAGCTTGCAGCGTCCAGTGGGCATAACTGGACACCGCAGAATGGAGGTTCCTAGGGTTGTGTCTGGGACCGGAGATATCGGCTAGTGTCATTCGGTTGCACAATCCAAGCCGCTTACATGCCAGAGGCTGTGCGTGAACAGCCAAGGAGTGGGGGTTCTCACAGCAGAGCAGGGTAAGGCTGGCTCCCAGAGTCAAGGATTGGGGTGACCTAGCAGGTCACTGGTCTAGATAAGACCAGGGGAACGTCACAGAAGTATCAATTGAAAACTAATAACTCGCTGAGCAATAATATCATGTATGTAGCAACATTATATGTAAAGTTATGAATAGAAGATGAAATCATGACTGAAGTGTGTTTACCAGACAAGTCTGGGGAGTGGGTAAACCTGTTTCTCAAAGACAAAGGACTAGCTGATGCCTCCAGCCAGGGGTCAGAGCTGATGGGCCATCACCTACCAAGTGGCCACTCTTTGGCAAGGAAGGGACAAAGAGATCTGCCTCTTAGCAAACAACAGCATAGAACATCTTTCACCACCAGACCCTTTGTCGCTGTCCTCACAGGGAGAATAAATTTTATCTAGGTGTAACCCTCAGGAAAATGTATTTTCTAAAGGTGACTGAACTATAAAAGTGAGAGGCAAAAACACTCCAAGTTATTTCTCTCCTTATCCATCTCTCTCACTTTTTCACCGAAGAAAACCACAGAAACAGCCATTGGACTTTGGGAGCAGATCCTCACCTGAAACTTGGTCAGTCCTGTTGCTGAGAGCATGTGGTGAGAATTTTATCTTGAACCAAGTTTAGTTTGTTAAGTCCAATGTGACAGACCCAGACCAGTGGGGTACAGGAGTCTGGTAGAGGGCAAATATACTGGTCACTGGATGAGTAGTTTTCTGTTCCCTGAGTGACCAGAGCAGGGGTTGCACTAGAGTAATCAGGAACCTGCTAGAACCAGTTAAGGCAGGCAGGCTCATTAGGACACCTGGAGCCAATTAAGAAGAAGCTGCTAGAATCAATTAAGGCAGGCTAATCAGGGCACCTGGGTTTTAAAAGGAGCTCACTTCAGTTTGTGGTGCGAGTGTGAGGAGCTGGGAGCAAGAGGCGCAAGGAGCTGAGAGTGAGGATGTGCTGCTGGAGGACTGAGGAGCACAAGCGTTATCAGACACCAGGAGGAAGGTCCTGTGGTGAGAATAAGGAAGGTGTTTGGAGGAGGCCATGGGGAAGTAGCCCAGGGAGTTGTAGCTGTCATGCAGCTGTTACAGGAGGCACTATAGACAGCTGCAGTCCACAGGGCCCTGGGCTGGAACCCGGAGTAGAGGGCGGGCCTGGGTTCCCCCCAAACCTCCCAATTGACCTGGACTGTGGGTTCTTCCAGAGGGAAGGTCTCTGGGCTGTTCCCCAACCCACATGGTGAATCTCTGAGGCAAGAAAATCTGCCAATAAGCGCAGGACCCACCAAGATAGAGGAGGAACTTTGTCACATTAAGTACCAGGAAGCATTTTATCTTTATTTTTCTTGTGTCCATTTCTGACTTTAATGCCTTATACTTTTACTCGCTTAAAATCTATTTCTTAGTTAAATAAACTTGTTTTATTCTGTAATCAAAACTAATCCAGTGTTGTGAACTGTGTGGGTAACTCCATTTGGGGTAGCAGAGTGTTGTATATTAATCCCCTTAAAAGGGCAACAGACCTACTCTATCTGCACTGTCCAGGAGAGGGATGGACAGTATAGGGCACATGTTTTGGGGGGAGAAAATCTGGGACTGGGAGTGTGTTGGGCTCACCCTACAAGTAGTAAACAAGTCTGCTGGAAGCCAGAGTTGCTGCTGGGGTCAGAGTTGCTGGAGCAGGGCTGTGGCTATACACAGACACTCAGGGTGTGACCTGCATGCCGGCAGGCTGTTTGTGAGCGGTCTGAGGGGAGCTACAGCAGCAAGTCACTGTGAGGCACCCAAAGTTATAGGGCAGAGGGACAACCCCTCACTGGTCTGGATTGCACCTTGGAACGTAACACTCATTAAACCATTTGCCAAAGGTGCAGTTTTATCTCAACATGCAGGCCCACAACCAACTGCGCCCCTGTGCTTTTTAGTCTCAGAAGCTAACACTGGTAGAAAAAAATTACTATATTTGGCACAACCAGTTACTGGCTATCAACGCAGCTTTCAAGGAGTGACTTGGCCTCCTAGAAGGGGCTGATTCCCAGTCCAAGTCCTGATGGACCACAACTGGAATATCTATGGACTGCTAGACACTTTAACTAATGCCAGATCCACTGGTCCCTCTTCTTTGCTCTCTTCAATTTTGTAGTAACCTATTGCCCAGGGACGAGAAACAGGAAGGCAGATGCCCTATCCCTCAAAAATGAATATCTTGCATTGGCAAAGAGCCTGTTGTCACTGTGTTCAAGGTGTCCAACTTTGCCAGTGAGATCATTGACAGCAATCTGATGTCTTCCATCTGCTCCCTGCTTCTCAACGACCTGTTTGCAACCCAGATCCAGACCCTGAACCATGCGACTATCCAACCCAACTCCGAGTTCCATTTACAAAATGGCATCCGCTATTGAAAGAATTATATTTATGTTCCAGAGGGAAAACCTAGGCTTCACGTATTGAAGCTATGCCATGATCCACTGCTTATAGGCCATTTTGGCCAATTCAAGACCTGGAATCTGGTCTCAAGGAGCTTCTGGTGGCCAGGCCTACATCAAAGATTATATAAGGTCCTGCAACCTCTTCACCCATACTAAGAACCCATGATCAAAACCTCTAGATCTCCTCCAGCCTCTACCCATGCCCCCACAGCCTTGGTCTACTATATCAATGTACCGCATTGTAGAGCTGCCATGCTCCCGTGACACTCAGTAATCTTGGGTGCTGTCAATCTCCTCACAGAGATGGCACACTTCATCCCGTGCTTACTGTTCTACCGCATGGGAGACAGCTTCCTGGAAAATGTCTTTCATTACCGTGGTTTACCAACAGGCATTGTATCAGACTGGAGACCTGAGTTCATCTCCTGTTTCTGGCAGGAATTCCCTCAGACTCCTTAGCATTGACTCCCTTACCTCGTCCGCCTGTCACCCACAGTGTAATGGGCAAGCAGAGAGTCAGTCAAATCTTGGAGCAGTATCTTCACTGTTTTCTGAATTATCACCAGTATGACTGCCTCTGCCTGCTATGCTACACCAAATTTTCCTATAACAATGCAATCCACGCCTCGATCCAACATAGCCCATTCTTTGGGAACTATGCCTCTCACCCCCACTTCTGCCCAGACTTACCCGTAAGTTCCCCAGTACCAGCCACTGTGGGTTTAGCCTCCCACCTAGTGCACCAGGAGCTCAAGGAATCCTTGCAGTCCTCCAAAGCAGCCTACAAACTCCACATGGACCAAGATCGTCAGGCTGCCCCTAATCTGTCCATAGGGGACAAGGTGTGGCGCTGTGCCCAGAACCTTAAAATTCAGCCACCCATCAGCCAAACTAGACTACCACTCTACAGTGGGAACCTACACCCAACCCCCTCAAACCCGCCACCACCACCCATAGTGGTCTGCAGACAGGCGGCATGCTTGGTTCACCGAATCCTCACCTTTCAATGAGTTAGGGAAAGGCTTCAAAACCTGGTAGACTGGGAGGGCTACAGTGGACAAGTGGTCTTCGGACCTGGTAGAGAACATCCAAGCCCCAACCCTACGGCGAGTTCTATCAGAAGTACTCAGAGAACCCAGGTAGAGAGCCCCTTCCCCTTCCTTTCTCCCCCCTCCCCCTACTCTGCCTGACTGGTGGAAGGATGAGTGCCACTCCAAAATAAGAACCCAGAATTAGCTATGGACCACCTGGGAGGCTTTGAAGGTTGGTGTTTGTGCACAGGCATGTGACTGTGACCTGGGACCCCCCTCCGCAGCCCTGGGAATCTCCCATCTGACACACCTGGCTCTGGAGACTGGACCAAATGGGTCCCTGGACTGAGCTGATCTAGGTGCTAGCAGACAGCCTGGATAACAGCTAAAAGGGAGAGACTTACTTGATGTGCTTGGCCCGTCCGGAGCCCTCAATGGTTTTGGCTCCCCATCTCTGGTCCCTCTCTGAGATGTCGTTCTGCAAAACAAACCCAAGTGCCATGAGAGGAGCCCACAGGGCTGCTGGGAACAACAGCGCTGGGTGCAGGGAACCGCACCTCTGCAGCCTGCAGACTGGAATAGGCCCAGGTGTTTTACTGGCCAGGACTGAAAACAGCGGAGGGCACAGCACTGCGGTGGCCCCGGAAGCTGGTGCCCTGGGCGACTGCCCTGCTCTCCTGCCCCTAGAACTCGCCAAAATCCCCAGCACAGAGATCCCCATTACCTCGCACACACATCAATGGGCCAAGACCCCTCAGGCACACCAGTCATCATTACCATGCAAGCTTCCATCAACAGGCAGACTCCCTGGCACGGGGTCACCATTACTGCGCACGCACCCGTGGATGGAGCAAGACCCACCCATGGCACAG